ATGGCCAAACAGAAAAGAGTCAGGAAGCAAGAATTCAAAGAAATGAGGAGAGTCTCAGGAACCTCAAGGACATCTTTAAATGCTCCAATATCCGAATTATAGGGGTACCAGAAGGGGGAAAGGCACAGCCACCAGTGGAAAACTTATTTGAACAAATAATAAAGGAGAATTTCCCCAATCTGGCAAAGGAAATAGACTTCCAGGAAATCCAGGAAGCTCAGAGAGTCCCAAAGAAGTTGGACCCAAGAAGGAACACACCAAGGCACATCATCATTACATTAGCCAAGATTAAAATGAAGGAGAGAGTCCTAGAAGCAGCAAGAGCTAAGGGGACAGTCACCTACAAAGGAGTCCCCATCAGACTGTCAGCAGATTTCTCAAAAGAGACCTTACAGGCAAGAAGGGGCTGGAAAGAGGTATTCCAAGTCATGAAATCCAAAGACCTACAACCAAGATTGCTCTATCCAGCAAAACTTTCATTTAGAATGGAAGGACAGATAAGGTGCTTCTCAGATAAGATCAAATTCAAGGAGTTCATCATCACCAAGCCCTTATTATATGAAATGTTAAAAGGACTTATCTAAGAAAAAGAAGTTAAAGAAACATGAACAGTGAAAGGACAACAAACTCACAGTTATTAACAACCACACCTAAAACAAAAGCAAACTAAAAGGACAGCTAGATCAGGAGTGGAAACATAGAAATGAAGATCTCAAGGAGGGTTAGCAACAGGGGAGTGGGAGGAGGAGATGGGGGGGAGAAGGTACAGAAAATAAGTAGCATAGACAGTAGATAGAAAATAGATGGGGGGGCAAGAATAGCATGGGAAATATAGAATCTAAAGGACTTGAGACACATGGTCATAAACTAAAGGGGGGTAATGGTGGGGATGGGGGGGCAGGGTGGAGGGGAATGAAGGGGGGAATAGAACGACTGTAACAGCATAATCAATTAAAAAAATTTAAAAAAAGAAAATAAATAAAAATAAAAAAATAAAAAATACATACTGAAATGTTGATGGGGGAGCTGGGCTTCTGAAATTGGGACTGGGAGGATTACATGCCTCAAATAACACTTATATGGCCAATAAGTACAAAGTACTATGAAATAATTTCCCCCAAACTATCTTTAGCATCCTTTTCACCTGCTCTCCCTCCCTCCTTGCTTTATGTTAGCATGATGATCCTCACTCCAAAGGCAGGAATCAAGCCTTACAGAATGTCCCTGAGCAGGGCTCCAGGCTAGGAAGGCAAGAAAAGGTGGGTGAGGGGTGGTTGGGAAGCATTTGTTTTCTCTGTTTATCTTCCTCCCTCCAACAAAAGTAACCATCTTCCAGCACTTGGCTATTGTAAATTTCGCTGCTGTGAACATTGGGGTACATAAGTTGTTTTGGATTGGTGTTTCAGAGTTCTTAGGATATAATCCTAGTAGTGGAATTGCTGGGTCAAAAGGCATATTCATTTTTAGTTTTTCTTAGAAAATTCCATACTGTTTTCCATAGTGGTTGTACCAGTCTGCAATCCCACCAACAATGAACTAGGGTCCCCTCTTCTCCACAACCTCTCCAACACTTGTTGTTTGTTGCTTTGTTTATGATGGCCATTCTGACTGGTGTAAAGTGGTATCTCATTGTGGTTTTAATATGCATCTCTCTGATAGCTAATGATATGATCCAACAATTCCACTGCTGGGATTATATCCTAAGAACCCTAAAACATCAATCCAAAAGAACCTGTGCACCCCAATGTTCATAGCAGCACAATTTACAATAGCCAAGAGCTGGAAAAAACCTAGGTGCCTGTCAGTAAATAAATGGATCAAAAAATTATGGTACATATACACAATGGAATTCTATGCAGCAGAAAGAAAGAAGGAGCTCCTGTCCTTTGTAACAGCATGGACGGAACTGAAAAGCATTACGCTAAGCAAAATAAGCCAGGCAGTGAAAGACAAATATCATATGATCTCACCTTTAACAGGAAGCTAAACAACAAAACAAACGAGCAAGCAAAATATAACCAAATACACTGAAATACAGAACAGACTGACAGTGACCAGAGGGGAGAGGGGAGGCAATGTCAGGGAAAAGGGGAAGGGTTTACAGGAACAAATGTAAAGGACACATGAACAAAAACTACGGTGGGGAGGGTGGAAATGGGAGGGAGATGGGGAGGAATGGGTGGTTGGGATGGGATGGGAGTAAAATACAGAAAACTGTACTTGAACAACAATTAAAATAAAATTAAAAATAAAAATAAAAGAATTTTTAAAACACTGGTGGGAGTGGAAATTGGTATAACCTTCATTGGGGGGAAAAAAACTGGCAATTTGTAGTCTCCTAGGAGCCTATTAAAATGTTGATTCCTGGGCTCTCCCCCTCAGAGAATCTGATCTGCATTTGAACAACTATACTGAGGATTCTGATGAAGGTGGTGCAGGGGGGCACATTTTGAGAGTTTTTTAAATTAAATGTATTGAGGTGACATTGGTTCACAAAACCATATAGGTTTCAAGTATACAACTCAATAAAATATCATATCCCTGCTGATACAGGGATCCCCACTCCTTGGAATTTATTAAAAGAAAATAATCTAAAGTATCATATTGACTTTAGACCCCAAGAAGGCTCCTGTGTCACTGTTTATACTAGCAAAAACTTGTAATTGTTGTTAAGTGTACACTACTAAGGCAGAGGTTCAGTAAATTACATCTTCCTCTTTGTTATTACGGGGTCGTCCAAAAGCACTGATGTCTGTCTCTCTGCCATTCTTGATCTATACCACTGCAGGTGGCTCCATGCAAAATGGAAGAACTAAATGGAACTTTCTACCAGAGATTGACAGATTAAACCTAAAGTCGCATTAGTTAGAGGAATGACTCAATTCTCTTGAGATACTACAATCTAAATGGTCCATAGTTCTTAGTAGTAGTGAGGAGAGCCAAAAGGGGAAACAGAAACCAGTAGAGACAGATACATTGCTAAACCATCCATCCATTCATTCACCCATTAATTCATCCAACCATCCATCCATTCAAAAAATATTTACTATATGCCAGGTACTTAGCTAGGTACTGGGGATTTAGCAGTGGACACAATAGAAACTCCCTGCCATCCAAGCATTCACAGTCTAGTGAAGAAAATAGCCAGTGGTATTTGATGAATACTAAGAAGTTGTAGGTAACCTGGGCACATAAAACAGAGGCAACAGACACAGGTTAGAATGATTATGGAAGGCTTCCTAGAGGATGTGATATCCAAAGTGAACAGTAAAAATTATACAGGTAAAGGAGAGAGACGCAGAGAGATTGTCTCCTTAGGAGACTACTGAAATAATAGTTCATCACGGCAGGGTCATAGATTGCAAAGGGTGGGATGAGGCTGAAGGAGTAGGCATGCTAAGACAGGTATAGACTGTACTACAAGGGTACTACTGGAGAGCCAATAAAGGCTTGGTAGCAGGGGAGTGATATGATCACATTTAGATTTTGAAAACAAAATTCTTACTACCATTTTGAGAACAGATTGGAGGTGGCAAGTATAGATGCAGGGAGACCATTTAGGAAACCGTTGCAGTCCTTCAGATGGGCTAGAATAGTTGAGTGGATGGATTCCAGAGAAATTTAAGATTTATTATTAACACACTCGTCATTAACAAGACTTTCTTCCTGCTGCTTATGGTGTAGTTTTTTTTTTTTTTGATGGACCAAAGCCCTTTACGATATCCCTTTGTCATTACCTCATTGTTAAACTTTGTAGAAGTTACTAGACATCCCTGGGGGCACAGTGGGACTGGGAGATGGTGAATGAAATAGGATGCCCTCTTAGTAGTAGGTGGCAAAATGGAAACACCAAAAGATATTTAATCAGGGTTGCATAGCAACCCATCAGCACCACCCACCTCAGTGGAATTCCCTTAAATGAGAGGGCAGGGTTTCATCCACCTTAGCACTGTTGCCATTTTGGGCGTGATAATTCCTGTTGTGTGTGTGAGAAGAGGTGGGGGTTAGGGTTGGGTCCTGTGCATTGTAGGATGTTTAGCAGTGTCCCTGGTTTCTACCCACTAGATGCTAGTAGCCACCACCCCCCGCCCAAAATTGTGCAAACAAAATTGTCCCCAAATATTGCCAAATGCCCTTGGTGGGAGGAGTTTTCCCAGGGTAAGAACCATGGAGGTGAAAGGTTTATACAGTGAGACCTGCTCCTTACCTGGAGTCTGCAGTATCTTCACTGTCCAACATGGCAAAAGCTTGTGAAACAAGTTGTCTGTCATCAATTCTGCTCCTGCTAGGGATCCTTCTAGGGTGAGTTTAGCAGCTTAAAACTATGTAGGGAGTCAATCTAGTTAAGGAGGTTAAAGGACTTTATAAACCTTAGTTCTTAACCCTCTCTTGGCTCCACCCAGCCACGACTGTGTTCCAAGAGAAGTGAGTGTCCAATATTCATGAGGAAAATGAGAGAAAAGTAAGGGCTTCCAAGGCAGATAGTGAGAGGATAGCAATGGGGACTGGATAGGCGATGCCAAGGGTACCTAGAAATTAGAGAAGTTTCCATAGCCAGGGTTGGGTAGCACTTTCTTGGGACCTCTTCTCTGTTCTGCTCTCCAGTGTGAGAGAGGAGGTCCAGCTCACCACTAAGCTCAGTTCTTCAGCAAGGCCTCTCACAAAGAGCCACAGGAAAAACCATAGGGTAAAGGGAAGAATAGGGGTAGAGGAGGGAAAGGAAGAAACTCCTAGTCTGATGTTGGGACTGCAACTGAGAACTCCCAACCCCAAGATTACTTCTTCTCACTGGGTAATCTTGCCTAAGACTTGCTCTCTTGCTTCAGGTGTCCTCACGTGTCTCATGTGGGCATAACAAATCCTATCCAATTACCACTGTGGCTGTGAGAACCCTAGGAGATTAACAGGGCCAACAAATGCAGAGCTCACATTCATTGATATTAATTGGAGAAAAGAATCAGAAGAAGGTAAGAATGAGAAGAATAATAAAAGAAGCAGAGTCAGAAGCAAATGTACAAAAGAAAAAAGAAAGAAAGAAAAAGAAGTGCAGGGAGGAAAGGCAGATGGAAGTGGAGGGTGGATAGTGTGAAGAGATGAAAGATGATCTCTTTGACATGGTACGTTAAACAACTGGAACTATCATGGAAAGCTTCTTTAAAAACCAGAAGAAATTCAGGATAAAATTGAAGAACAACAGTCAGTTCACAAGGGCTGACAACTCACTAGATAGGCCATGGGAGGACTCCAGGAAGGTCGACTGCTCTGTTGATAGATATTGCAGGTATCCTACGTGAAGGCAGTTGACATCTGGATGGCTGTGTGCCTGTTTTTCATGTTTGCTACCGTGCTGGAGTATGCTGCTGTGAATTGTTTCCTGTGAGCATAAGGAATTCAAAGCAGAGGCGCCAGCACGTGGTGTGTATAACTAAAGAAGGGCCCACTTCCTTCTTCCTCAGGACTCCTTTCTCCCTACCACTCTTGCCACAAATCAAGAGCAAACGTAGAGTTGCAAGCACTTGACAGGCAATCAGTAACCCTGGATTCTAGTCCCAGGATGGTCACAGATATGTACTTTAACCCCTTTGATTCCATTTTCTTAATCTGTCATTAGAACACTAACCCATACAGGGAAGTCTACTAGGGTGATTTAGAGCTTAGGAACAGAGCCTGGAACACAAGCACTGAAAAAAAAATGTTAGCTAGTATTAGAACCTTATCTTGTTAATCAACATGAGATGTTTTCAGAATTAGTGGTGGTTGCTCCTGGTTCTCCACTTACCCAGGAGAAATGTACCCCAGGTTGTCACATACTGATTAAGAATTCAGGGAAAAATGGGAGGGATTTAGAGGAACAAGTATAAAGGACACAGGGACAATAACTAAGGGGGGTGGAAATGGGAGGGAAGTGGGGAGCACGGGGCGGGGTGGGCTGGGATGGGAGAAATAGAAAACTGTACTTGAAAAATAAGTAGATAAAATTTTTAAAAATTTAAAAAAAAGAATTCAAGAGTCTGCATTGGTCTCTTTCTAGGAGAGCATTATAAAAGGGTCCCCATAGCTAAGCTGGAACTGAAAAACCATCCCTTGCCTCTTCCAACTGTTGGATATTCATTGGGTACATCAGAGGTGTTGGGTGTGACTTGTTCTCCCTCACTCTTATTCGTTAACCCCATTTCCTCTACAAAAGAGTGATCACCTGGATAAATTGCCTCCATGACAATGAAGGCAGTTTACCCCTATTGCCCAGACAATAGTGCTGGGTACATTGTCATGACAACAGATGTGCCTGGGCCACTTTCACAAAAATGAGTGTCTAATTATGAGCAAAGACTTTGCTGAGCTATACACTGGTCTCTTAATCACCAGAGTTCTGCTGTGTCTTGAGCTCTTACTCCTTGCTTTATGCCTAATGTGGAGGCTTTAAAGCCAAAGGGACAAACACATGTGATATCTGGGGTAGGTGAAAGAAGGTGGGGGGAGAAAAATGATGATCTGAAACCCCTACTTGGGGACAGTGTAACACAAATGCTCTTCTCTCCTAACACCCCTCCTCCCACCTCAGCTGCTGCTGAATTACCTCTACCATATGTCTTCACTAAAAATATCTCGCAAACTACTGTCTCTTGCTAAAATCACTTTCTGCTGAGGGCAAGAATCCTGTCTCATTAGTGGTTTTAAGGACAAATTCTTGCCTGGCTTTAATCCTTTAGTTGGGCCCTGGAAAGTTCTTCTTGTGGAATGATTCATAACTGCATCTCCTTAAATAGGACCCATTCTTCAATAGACCTACTAATATCAGCCCTTATTATCCCATGCTGAGGTGAAGAAAAATATACAGACTTGGCACAAAGGCAAGAGGATGCATTCTTTTCTAAACTAACTGTCCCTACCCCATCTTTATCTATGTTAAACCTGCCTGCAGGTACCCAAATCTTGCCTTTATAGTTTATATTTTGATGCCTTCTGAATGCCTACCTTGGAAAAAAAGAGCAGGCTGATGAACCGTTCCATAGTGCTTTTGCCAGTTAAATTGCCTGTGTGGGTGTCCCAGCAACAGAACACTACAGCAGCTAATGTAGAGGTACTCCAAATTGCCACTAGTGCCACCACCTCCCCTACACCTCTCCCTCTCCCAACTGCCCACAGCCTACCTGTTCCCCCTTGTTGTATATAGTTTGATCCTGATCTCATAATAGAGACCGTCATAATAAATGCTCAATTATGACACAGTTACAACAGCAGCCTGGGCCCTGCTTAGGCTCCTGAATCCTACCTGAAAATGAGCTGGGCTTATTATTAATGTAAATAAAACCTGAAAATCCAAACTGGTATCATTAGCCCATGTCCCACTTAGAGTTTCCTAAAGCCATTGCTATCCCAGTGGAGTTGTAGCAGGGTTCCTGGAAGCCACTGAGCAGGCTGGAAAAATTAATGCAGAGTTAATCCATTTCAAAAACCTGTCTCTGGGCCCTGCTGGAGAAGCGGCAGTCTTTAGTTTGAGAGGAGCCCTTTTAAGGGAAAGAAGGTAATCCATATGCTTTTCAGGGACCCTTAGCCAAGTGTAAGTTAGGAGTGTTCTAGGAGCCTCACCTGGATCCAGGCTTAATACGGTTTTTCTTTAATTTCTCCTCAACCACATGTCTTCACTGCATAGTGGTCTTCTTCCATGGCACTTTCTGAAGTAGTTTACCTTTTTCCTCATATATTTCTGATTAGTCTTCACAGCTCATCTAAGTATCACAGGGAAGGGTCTATCCCTCTTTTTTTATAACCTCACTGGGCCTAGCACCAGGCTCTGGACACGGCACCATGAAACTCAGTTCACCAACCTTGGCAGGCTGACTGGCGAGGGCTGTCTTTCAAAATGGACAGAGAGAAAGCCTTGACACTATCATTGGAATAGTTTGAGAAATGGAAGAAATTTCAAAATACTGCCTCTCGGGGGTTTGGGCCCAGAATGCTGTTTGCCTAGCACCCTTCTCCATTCTCCAATTTCTTCTTTTTATTTCAATACCTATCATTCTTTTCCATCTCCACACCTCACCTCCCATACTGTGCATTCCCTCCCCAGCTTGGTTTTGGAATATCTTCCCTCTCTAGTTCCCCACACTTCCTCCCTTATATATAGCTACAACAAAAATGTTCTATCTCAACAGCCATGGAAGTCATAATATGGTGTTTAAATCTCCATTGTCCTTCCCAAAATACACACACACACACACACACACACACACACACACACACCTAAAAATTTGGCCTAAATAGCTAATACCCAAATCCAGGACCCCTTCGATTTTAGGCCACTCATTTTTGCTCTCCCAACTACAAATAGTACAATACATTTTAAAAAATTAGGTCATGAGCTCCTCATTCTATTAGCCATTTTTTTCTCCTGTGTAAATAGCATTTTTCAGCCTGGGTAATATTTCCAAATAATTCCCTCTAGATTTACTGTGATTGGGTAAAAGGGAAAATAATTAGACCTATAGAAGCAGAAACAGCAGTTGTATTTAACTTCCTTTTTCAGAGCTTTTTGCAAACAAATATATTTTGTGCTTGTATCCTCTAGCTCGGGGGGTGAGGGGATCAAAATGAGCAGTGGTGAATGGGAGATCTGAGGGACCTGAACTGGAAAGCAAAATGGAAAATCATTTTATTTACCCCCTTATTTTTCAATTACTTGGGAGATATTTAGTTTGCCTCTGGTTCTTCATTTCTAAAATGCGTCCAGCACAATCTCTCATGTAGGAATAATGTGGAAATAAATGTGAAAAAACAGGTGAGATGAGCCAGGGACTTTGGTAACAGGTTATGTAAATAACTTTGAGCAGAGAGCTAAGGCTGCCCCACTACAACAACTGAGGGTCAAAGAACAACTACAGTTGTGAATTGCCTCTGTCCTACACAAATACATCTCCACAAAATTTAGCAAAATCAAAGAGCAAAGCTCCTTGGGGAGCAAAGCTCTCTGCTGGGAAGACTTAAGAGAGAATCTTCCCTATGCCAACGATGCCACTCTTTCTAAAGGCTGAGGGCATCAGGACATTGTGCCAGAGTAGGGCAAGAAGTAATTGTTTTTTCTGCCAAGGACTTTGTAACTGATTCTTCAGATACAAAGTAAGATTCTTCAGTTTGAGCCCTTGAGAGAATACTAGCTTCATGTAAAAAAAAGCCATTCCCTGTCCTATATTCTGAAGCATGTGGCTCACCAGACCATTTTTTAAAAATATTTTATTTATTTGTTTTTGAGAGAGAGTGGAACGGAAGGAGAAACAGAGGGAGGGAAACATCAGTGTACTAGGGATACATTGATTGCTTGCCTCTCACACGCCCCTAACTGGGGACCTGGCCCACAACCTAGGCATGTACCCTGACTGGGAATCAAACTGGCAACCTTTTGGTTTGTAGACCAGTGCTCGATACACTGACCCACACCAGCCAGGGCAAGAGACCATGTATCAGCTGATATCCACTGGTTGTTTATTAGATGCCAGATACTATGCTAGGCACTGGGCACAGAGCAGTAAATAAGACCAATGTTCTTTCCCACATTTTTACCATGAGCCCAGTAGAAACAGGGAAAGAGATAGGATTTGTTATTGAATCTCTGGTCTGAGCTTGCCTTCCCTCGATGCCTGGTGTTAGGCTAGACCTTCTAGTGATTACTAATCATAGGGCACTGGGACCCACCAGATCATCTTATCTGTGAAGTCACTTTACAATGTGTTACCAAAGCTGCAGAGGTTCCATTATAAGGATCCTATAATGTTTTTCTAACTGCACAGCAAGTATAAAAATCTACTTTATTCACATTTTATGTTTATCTATGTCACATTCATTCAATGTGCATATGTTTTGTTCTGTTTCAGCAATGAAGGTCCCTAGTCTCAGGACACCTTCTTCATTCCTGGGAAAACCAAGAAGATAGTTGGCATCATCTCTTAAGGGGGCATTTCACTTTAGGTGATTTCTTAGATAGCTGAAGGTTTTATGCTTATAAACATCAATACTCTTAAAATGTGTAACCATCTTTGAATGAAGTATTTCTAGGTTCTGGCATATATTTACTTGTCTTCTGCTAATTTCCAAGCTGTGAGGTAGTGTGTCCTTTAGAAGTAGACAGATTCAGGCATGTTTGAGTTGTATATAAACTGAGTTAATAGGATATGAGTGGCAACCTGAAGGGCTCTTATATGAGTAAAGCTTTCTCTATTAATCACTCAGAAGTCTCTCTCTCTCTCCCCCCGCCCTGCTCTCTCTTCTCTCTCTAACTTTATATTTCTGTCCTTACTTCCTGGTTCTCAGCTGTGTTATAGCTACTTAAAGTTGTCAGCTGACAATTAGATAAATAAACTTTTCATAATTCTGCTACATTCCTTAGTGCTTATATAAAATTTGCTTCCACAATGTATGCAGCATAGATAAAAGGAATGTGTATTGGGTAACAAATGTTACCCTAGATCAAGAGTGGCAAACTGACTTCCGCCAAGATGGAGGCATAGGTGGATAAGCCATGCCTTCTCACACAACCAAGTTTAGAGACAACTAAATATTAGCAACAGAAAACACAGCCAGAACACAGAAAATTGAACTTTTCGGAAGTCTGATAACAACAAATTCTTCAGCCTGACTGGTAAGGGGCGAAACCAGCAGCTGGTGGAGCGGGGTTGCACAGGAAAACTCGGTCAGACGGACTCAGGCACACGGAATCCAGGCGCAGGTTTGGACCTAGTGAGCCACCCAGCCAGCAACCAAGCGAGCAACCGCGGGGAAACAGCGAGGGAGCAGGGCTGCAGGTTGATTGTGGTCGAGCATTGGTGCGCGGATAGACAAGCGAGGGAGTGGGCAATTGGACTGGGACCCAGCGGTCCCCGCGGCAAGCGGCAGGGACAGCGCTGCCATTTCCCTGCTCTGACCCCACCTCCACATACAGCGTCATAACCCAGCCACTCTGAGTGGCCCAGCCCATGTGAACCACCTAAGCCTCTGCTCCTCACCCAGCAGCAACAAACAGCAGAGGGGGTCGCCAATTCCCTGCTCTGACCACGCCCCCACATACAGCATCACAAACCAGCAACCTGGGAGTCCAAGGCTCCTCTCCTCACACTTAAAGGACACGAACAGACCAAAAATGGCTCAAGAAGATCTCAAAGTCCCAGAGCCTATAAATCTA